AGAAAAATCTGATCTGTGCTTTTTAGACATGAAAAGATCAGCTCCGGGTCGCATATGGGCAAAAAAAAAATCAGATTTGGGTCCCTTCAGTGTGAATGTAGCCTTATTTAGCCTTTAGAGGGCAGCAGAGAGTCAACGGCCCGTCTACCCATGACCCTAACCCACCCCCACCATGGCCTGTGCTGCCTGCTGCCTTCTGGCAAGATGTTCCCTACCTTTATATGGAGAACTACCAGATTCTACCAAAGCCTCATCCTCTAGCAATAAACACACTAGCTATCGGGCAAAAATTGGTTGAAAAGACGTCCAGTTGAGAAGTGAAAGGTTTTCAGATTGTTGAAAAGATGTTTAAAACTCAGATTGTAATGTCTTTATAACGTCTATTATTGGACTAAAGTTGGACAAAATCAGAGCAACCAAACACAGCCCTATTTTTCAACAACTACGACTAAGACTAAGACTATGATGGACCGCAGACATGGGCAATGTGGAGTCAACAAGTCATCTCCATGTCATGTATTTGTTTCTACCCAGCCACTGAAGCAGTCCAATCTTCACCGTGAATTAACCCGTGCAGATTGGACTCACCTGTTTAATTGGCTGGGTAGATTAAATACATGACATGGAGATGACTTGTTGACTCCACATTGCCCATGTCTGATGGACCGACCAGATTTACCCTACAAACCAAAGTCTGAGAGACGTCTGGTGTTTGGGGAGTAAACTGTGTCTGCTGTTCGTTTGGAAGCTGCTCTTTGTTTTTCTAATCCAGCTGTGTGTCATTCCTGACATTAGATTAGTCTCAGTTCCAGCTAGATTCAGGAACTGCTCAGTCTTTGTCGAACACATGAAGACAGCTTTCTGTTCAATCCCATCCCAGGTAAAGAAAATGTTTCAGCTCTATTTTTTCTCCTCTAAGCTCATCATTTCTGACATGGATAAACCTTCTCTTAGGGATTATGAAGTTATCCAGTAGTCATCACTTTTTGGCAGCTTAGCTCATATTAGCCAGCAAGCTGCGGCTTTACGACGTTCCTGAGTTCAAAAGGAACACCACAGATCTGTGCCTCTGTTAATCTGTTAAACCAGAATCAGTGGTCATTTCCATCAGTCTGAGCTCAGACAGTAAAGAGGAGGTTAAACGATCCTTCAGTTACTCCAAATAAAGATGGAGAAGCATGAACACGGCTGTCCTTCCACATCCCCTCTGGGAGCCATTGGATCGGAGCCACAGGTGTCAATAACAAATGACAAAATACTCATTACTTAAATACAAATATTGGCTATCTATACTTTATTATTTTTACTTTCTACTCCTTACTTTTTAACAATAGACTTGTTAGTTTTGTTTCATTTAAGGTCATTTTCATTATAAAACTGTTGGTATTTAAAAAATAATAAAAACCATGAAAATAATTAGTTTCATCCAGATGATTAATTTCTTTGTTGGTCGGTGCTGCCCCAACTTGTTGCTCACCACAAACCAAAATAAATAGTTTTTCAAGATGATGCAAAGTTAAATTTGACTTTGTTTCCATTAGTTATAAAACTAAGGAAATTAACTCTAAAGCCGATAAAGCCGATGGGGGCCAATTTTCCAGTTGTGCGAGAATTTTTTGATCACGCCGACTTTCAGCCTGATGGTGCGTGGCGTAGTATACAGGGGGTAACGAGGGGCGATCAGCCTCTAACGACCGCCTCCCCATCAGGAATCGTAAGTTTGGGAGAAAATCAAACATGTTTGAAATTCAGTCGGCGGTCGTAAGGTGGTTGTGGACAAATCGCTCAGTGGACAAACAAGAATTGTTCTTCTTCCTTTTAGACTAAAACCCAGCAGCATGTCGGGGGTTCATAGAGTGAAAAAGAGTTCTTTCTGGAAAACTGACAGACCTTAGTAGCAATGTTTACTCAGCCATGTCTTTGTCCAAATAGCCAAGGCAGCGCGTTTTAATCTAATGAGCTTCATCTTCCTTTTCTACTCGTTTGGCCTCCGAATAGATGAGTCCGAGAAGCGCAATTTCACTGCAGACTAGAGACTGACACGGGAGTGGATTTTCACTCCTGTCCCGTCCCACTCCCACAGAAAAAAATGGTGTCCCGTCCCGATCCCGGGCCAGAGTAGAAATCTAAATCCTGTCCCGTCCCACTCCTGGTGAAATTACTCCCACTCCCATCCCGCTCCCATTCAGAATGACTCCCGCTCCTGCACCACTCCCATTCTTGGTCCCTCCATTGCTGTTTTTGAGCGCGGGTGAAAAGCTCAGAGCAGAAGCACTGTTGGTTTTTGGGTCGTGTAGTTTTTTTTTGACTCGCATTATAGTGTAGACATCAAGGGAAAAAAAATTACAAAATGGCGGCGCCAATACTGGATTTTTTTTCTTTCTATTTTATTTTATTTTTTTGTCATCGATCCTAGTTTTTTTTAGTTACTATTGGTTTGCTCCCGCTCCCGTGTGCTCCCGTTAATGTTTAATCCTGTACCGTCCCAATCACGTGATCGTTACTAATACTGACTCCCATCCCACGGGAATCCCACGGGAATCCCTTGACCCGTGGGATTCCTGAAAAAATGTCGGGTCACACAGTGTGAGCCGTGAACTCGCACTGTACGATGAAACCTTTGCAGTTTCATTGTACAGCGTAAGCTGTAGTTGTGTGTAACGATTGAAATAATTGTACAGTGTATGCCTTAAGGAAGTTATCATTCAGAATTATAGAAAAATGTTCCTTTAATAGGGTAGAGCAGTAAAGCGTCTGTCCTTAACATTTTTTTCCAGCATTACTTTAACTTTTATACTATAAGTAGTTTTAAAAATTGTACTTTTACACTTTTACTGGAGTAAAAATCTGAAGTTGATCCTCTAACTTCTACAAAGGTGTTTTTAAACAGCAGGATTTATTCTTCTACTGGAGTAATAAATGCTCTGATTGGAGCACACGCCTTTTTCATGCGTGGACTAACTCAGGTGTTTCTTGCTGCATTAATCGCTCCAGCAAGTTGATCTCTGGAAGACATCAAAGATCTGCAGAAAACAGAAAATATAACCACAGCTTCTTACAAGCAGAGGTCAGAAGGAAAAATTCGCCGAGACACGCATCAAACCGCCTTTCAATCAGAAGACTCACAGCCACCAAACAAAGTGAAGAGCTGAATAAACAACTCCGTCTGCAGCATTGTTTGCTTTTGATGGGCTGCCCGACTCCCCTGTGAGGAATCCAGTGACAGGGCTGCAGAACAGCGAGCTTTTGATTTGTGAGTCTCTCCCGTTGCTCAAAAAGCCCGAAGGCTTCTCGACTGAATTAGGAGCCGGAGCGTTATCTCCCCAGCAGAGGCAGAGGACTGATTGCCGCCCTCATTGGAAGTGAGGAGCACGTTTGCCCCGTGTAATAGCTGCCATAGAAACCACATCAGCCAAGTAATTGTTTAGGCAACCTTAGAAAATTAAGAGGACAACATAAAAATGTGTTTCCTTGACTTCTTCTTGATTCTCCGGGGCTATGTTTTTTGATTAAATATTCAATTTCCGCTGCTGCTGCGGCGCCGCTGCAGATTGACAGCTTTGGACCAGACCGTACAGTGACTTTTCTACTTGTCTGTTGAAGTGTGAATTGGACCTGACTCTGCTGCAGGTTAAGAAGCTCCAACTGCAGGTAACTCTCCATTGATTAGATCAAAGCACCAAACTTTAAAGGTCCAATATCCAGCTTTTTTTAAGCCATCCAAAGCCAACTATAGACCTATATCTAATGAAACGCTGCCTTTGGCATGAAGAAAGTCATCATTTCTTATATTAGTTGTTTTCTGTTGCTGCGGTTGTTCCAACCAGGAATAAAGATCCTTACCTTTACTACTTCCAGCCACTGCTGTATAGGTACCGCTAACACACAGCATCATCGCGGCATGTAGAAGTTCAGTAAAAGGTGGACAGGAATGTCTCACATCTTGGTGTGAAACAACTTTAGGCCCCGTGAATGGAGCATTTTAGGGGTCCGGGGGTATCGGAAAATGTTGAAATGTAGACTCTCTGAAACGTTGAGAGAAACAGACAATATTATGTTTCATAGGTAAATTCAAACAATCAGAAAGTGAAACTGGATTGGCGCGTCCAACTTCAAACAAAACCAGCCGGTAAGGTACCAAACAGGAAATACACATAGTGTAGAGCGATGTAGAGTTGGCCAATCAGAGGCCTTCCGTCCGTCCGTCCGTCCGTCCGTCCGTCCATCCATTAAACTTTCCTCCCCAGGATCTCTCATTCTCCACCTTGTCATGTTCTTCATTGTTTTCTAAAATGTTTGTTTTTTTTAATGATCAATGCTGAAACAATTGAGCCAATTAGTAGCAATTAATCGATTGTTGAAAGAATTGTCAACTAATTTAGTAATCAGTTAATCTTGCAGGCCAACAAAGGATCCAAACGACCCCCATTCCAAAGGGGGGGACCCGTTCATCCGTTTCTATTTGCATGTTTTCTAAACTGAAACCAGGCTTTGTTGGGCTGCTGGATAAAACCTGGAACTAAACGCTATTTCTGACATTTTGGATTGAAAAATCTTCCTGGATGGAAGAGAAACGTCTTCAAACTTGGAAACAAAGTCCAGAGGATTGATTTTTAACTTGTTTGAAATAATTAGTCATTAACTGGAGAATAGAGACGATAAAACATGCTTTTAGCTAACAAAGCGACCCACTTAGAGCAGGAATTATACCAAGATTGTAAGATAATATAGAAACTTTGAAGATTTGAAGATTTGAAAAACATTTTCGCCTTTCATTGTGCTCTATCCAAAACTCCTCAAGTGGAAAAGTTTTAGTTTCACCAAAATGCTCTTTAAGAAACCTTTGGCTATATGATGTTATTTGATCAACAGATGAATGGATTAGCTAAATAAAGCTTAGTTGCAGCTCTAGTCTGTTGCTTGGTGACTGAATCAGGCCTGCTGCTGCTGTTTGCTGGAGAACGGTGCTCCTAATAAAGACCCGACTCCTTTGATTCCAGGGTGCTACGGCGTGGACGGTGAGAGCGACTCCATCATGAGCTCAGCCTCAGAGAACTCCACCGAACCTTGGTTCTGTGACGCCTGCAAGAACGGAGTGGCCCCCAGCTGCGAGCTCTGCCCCAACCAGGACGGCATCTTCAAAGAGACGGACGCCGGGAGGTGAGACTCCGAGACAAACGGCGGCTAATAGCCTGAGCCGGGCGAGCTGCGGCAGGCGGCGAAAGGAGATCTGAATTCTGCTCATTGTTTATTCGCGGCTGAGAAGAAGAGGAAGTTGGATTAGAGAGAGAGAGAGAGGAGTGATGGAAGGAGGAGAGGAGATAGAGAAGAAAAAAGGAGCGAGAGAAAAGAGTGTGTTTTGTGAAGCATGGAGACTTCAGCCACGTTATCGCTGATAGTGCTCCTCAGCCAGGCTGCACCCGAATTTACTACTTCACTAGAGCATGAAAAACACAGCAAATTAAACTGTGAAGCGCTTGCTTGCTAGAGATGGATATCTTTATATTGGACTTCGGATTCTCTTCTCTAAGGTCTGCATTTGAAATTGTGTCACACATAAGTGTCACCAGCAACATTAATCTATGAGCTCATTTCTTTTTGAAGTCTCTGAGCAACTGACTGCAGCCAATTTCACCACATCAGCTCCCTTATTGTCTGCAGAACGGAAAGAAGCCGCCGCCATGTTTTTAATTGCTCCCCGTAACGATGGCTCATCTAAACATGTATGTTCCTCCTCTTCCTGCTTCCAGGTGGGTGCATGTGGTGTGTGCGCTTTACGTCCCCGGAGTGGCGTTTGGAGACATCGATAAACTGCGACCAGTGACGCTCACCGAGATGAATTATTCAAAATACGGAGCCAAGGCAAGTCATGGGTTCACACCCCGCCTCGTGTGGAGGTGGATTTTCTAAACCATTAGGAATACGTTCAGCGCCTCTAAAGGCTGAACCACAGCCCAGGAGATTAGATGCTCCCAGCAGCACCAGTCTAGGCATCAAACTGGTGGATAAGATGATCAGAATACAAACAGCGGCAAGAAATTTGAAAGATTTCCTAAACTGGGTCAAAGTTTGAAATCTAAACATGATCTGTGGCTAACGGTCTGTCAGCGCGTCGCTTATAATAAGCTCTAGCATAATTCTACCACTAATGTCCGCTCCATTCCGGGCTAAACGGTCAGCATGATGCTGCCACCACTGTGCCTCACTGCTGCTAGAATGCACTAAGGTTTCAAACTGATTTGCTCACTTTTTAGCAGCAGCATCAGCCAGCTGCCATGTTGGCTGGAAGGTGTTCCAGCCAGATGACGTCCTTTCTCTGTCATCAGAATCTCATGCTGCATTCAGAGCCGCTGCACACAGAGCTGCTCTCTGTTCCATAATATTCCACTCTACCTGCTCTTTATTTAACCTTTACAGTTTAACTCCTTGATATTTATTTATTTTTCATCTGCAGAATGTCTGCAAAAGGGATGACAGCTTGTAGGTAGAGTCCGTCTCCCTGAAAAAAACTCCTGGATCAGGTTTTCTGATTGGCTGAAGCTCGGACGGCAAAAGTTAAAATTGAACTCCAGCATTGAAACCTTGGATTCTCAACGGCTCTGCCGTCCCTCTCAATGCCGCTGTAGGTACCAGATCTGCTCAGGGCCCCGGCCCTTCTTATGACGTCACAATATGGCAACTCCACTCGGACAAACTATTGCACCCGTTTCTTAAGGATCAAATCTCTTCTGGATTCTCAACATATTATTCCCTATATTTGCAATTATTTTCCATTTCATCGGCGATCTAAAGTAGCCGAAGCAGAAAACAATCATTCTAAGTCTTGAAGGAAATCACTGCCTTCTAAGACAGACTGAGCTCTGCTATTTAACAAGGAGACAAATTCTATTCTTTTTATCAAGGACAAATGGGACATCCAAAAAAATAACTTTCATTGCAATTTTAGAGAAAACAGTTATTCTATTTGTAGTAAACAAACGGTTGTTGTTGACACAAATTTAAAAGTAGTGGAGCTTAATGTGGCTAACTGGCTGAGCTAAAAGAGGCTAACCTGTTAGCTACTGAGCACAGCTAGCCACAGCGCTACCCAGCTCTCCCCCTTTATATCTAACAGTTACTTTGTTCAGTCCTGTTATTGATCAGGTAAATCTTCATCGGTCATTAGACATGCTAACGGACGCTGAGTGATGTTATTATCGTTGTCTAGGCAACCACAATGTTTTACATCACGTGGCAATGTTTAGCCATTCATGTAGCGCAGAGGTCACTGATCCGGACCTGGATAATCCGGACCCAACCTGATTTAAAACATTTATAAATTACCGCATGTTGTCTGAGGACAGTGTCTAAACGTCACTTGCGCCGCTTCTCCTGTTACCCTGAAATCCCACATCCTCCATCACCGCTCCGGCCGGCTGCGCTCCAGACCTGCTGCTCAAAGCAAAGCCTATAGCCTCCGCTGTTCCTTCCATATCGCTGTGCTCCAACTTCTTCGGAGCTCGAGGAAAGCGTGCGCCATATAATCATTAAATTCGTAGGAGCAAAAGATACAGAAATGATTGGATAATTTAATATGACAGATTAAAAAAATCCCCATCGGCATCCAGCAGATGTTCAATTTCTGATGGAGATGAGAAATCTGCTTCCTGGTCTGTTGAAGGACCAATAGTTTGCATCTATTTTTTTAAATAAACGGTGTTAGTTATAACACTCAGTTCCAGCTAGATTCCAATCTGTTATTACTAATGTTTTAATCTGACAAACCGGATCTCCTCGCCGTTCTTTTTCTCCTGTTTGGTGCGATGAAATAGCGGATCTGGACCTGGCCGGACCGGAGCGGAGCCTGCACATTTAGAGGATGTTTGGCTCAACCTGCTGCTGTGAAGCAGGATTCTCCACCATGAACAGAATCAACAATGAATCTGGATCCAGGCTCAAAATGAGCTCCTTGATATGTGCTTGAGAATGGCTTAGTCTCCATTAAACCCAGGTTTAAAGCCTTGCAGGGCAGCCTAAAGCCCACTGCCAACATTAAGACAGAAAAAAGAAAGAAAATAACAAACGATCAGTTCAGGGGTTTGAGAAAATATGGGAATCAGGAAATTATCTATAAACCAAACTGAATGATTGTTGTTCTCTACTTCAAAAAACACTTTAGATTTTAAAATATATTTTTTACTTTAAAAATTCAATGTATAACATTGATCTATAAATAACCTCATTTTATTTCAGTGTTAAATTCTGTTTGAAGTAACGGATCATTAAAAAGTCTTCCGGACCTTTACTGGTTGATGATTTTCTTTATTCAGACCCGCTGATTTTTAATTGGTTACCCGTGGTTTGGCGTAATGTCACTGGCATGAAGCAGGACTCGAGCAGATCTGGTCCCTACAGCGTCCCCCGTAGACTTTATATCTAAATCAGACGCTTTGACACCCAGAAGGTTCCCGGTCTGAACCGATATCATCGCTTCACAAACGTCTTGGAGCTCAGTTGCTCTGGATTTATTCTTCTGAAGGTTTTGGTTAGGTTGGTCAAACTTGGATCTGTTAATGATGATAAACGTCTTAAACGACTGTGAACAGACTTAAAAAGTTTCTTAGATAAAATATCTTCCATCTGATCTATGCAGAGCTTCCGCTTAATATTTTCTTTAATCGCTGTAATGTCCTGTCCTCTAGAGGGCGCCCTGGTCTCTAATAATTAAAGAAAAAGTCTGTCAGCAAGGAATAATTAATGGATCATTATCTATAAAATAAAAACAATAATTTTCATTGTGACCACCGAGGATTGACAACGGACGGGTTGGTCGTTGGATCGCCAACTTGAAGAGGGAGGATTTGCCATCGAACTTCTGGCCAGAGAAAAAACCCGTAATATGTAGCCAACATTTGGAAGAAGAATGTTTTCAAGATGACTTGGATAATAGCGCGTTGTGATAAACACCAGATACAGCACTGGGACTTGATCAACAGCCGATACCGCACCGTGACGTCACTAACCAGTAGGTGGCAGTAGTGTTCTTTGACAAACATGGATGCCTCCAGTAAAGCACACTCACATGAAAATTACTCTGAATTAACAATATGTAATCATTATATATTTAAATTGCTTTCAGAAGTTTGAACTCTGAATATGAGCGACTTTCCTTAAAACGAGAAAAAAATACTAGAGGAAAAGGATGAGAATCCGATTCCTTATCATTTCTTCTGTTTAGCGGCAACAAGGAGCCAGAATAATGTTTTTGTGGTTCTGTTCTTTAGCTGCTTCAGTTTCCACATGACTAGCAGCCATTTGTGCTGCATGGAAGAGCAGCAGAACCTCTGCTCTGTCCACAGTGTGAGAGGAACACATGGTGGTCACCAGCAGCGTAGAAGGAGAAGCTTTAGTCACTCAATGATCTTCTAAGAGGAACCAGAACCAGAACCTCCTGTTTAAAAGCCCTGCTAACAGCATAAAGGCTAACATTGCTGAAAACAGAGAGCGATGTCACAGTTCACTGTCATCATATCAGAGCCACTAAACCTGCCTTTACATGTTGGTTTTATATTTCTCTACATTGTTTCATGTACTTTAGAAATGTTTTCTTTAATCAATAATCCAACATATATGTTATAAACACGTCTGCATCTATTAATATGAAAGAAAACATGCTTTGGTTGATTCACTCTTATTTATTACAGCAGGAACAATAAATAGTTTAGGTACGATGATAAACATTTTTTTTATGTCAGCATTTGATAAAAACAATTTAGCCCTAAATGTAAAAATGAAAAGTGGTGTTTAGGGTTTAGCTGCTTTAGAAGTTTCAGATAAAAATGACTGGAACTCCTAATGAAGTTATAATGTTTCAGGAAAATAAAGCTGATTAAGAAGCTTTTGTGTTGCAGGAGTGCAGTTTCTGTGAGGACGCCCGCTTTGCCAGGACCGGCGTTTGCATCAGCTGTGATGCCGGCATGTGTCGCTCCTACTTCCACGTTACCTGCGCTCAGAGGGAGGGGCTTCTGTCTGAGGCTGCGGCCGAGGAGGTAGGACCTCAACGTGAGGGGACGGTTAGCGACGGACCACAGCTCTGGTACCGCAGAGCTCAGGCTGTCGGACCAAAGAGCAGTGCTGCCAACTTAGTAGCTAAACTGAGTGTCTTTTCAGACCCTCTATGGCCTTTATTTCAAAAAGTTCCTAGCACCAACACTAAGGATTTTTTTTCTGTTAATTATAACTTTGGTGACATAAAAGCACCAAACACTGTCCTCTCTCTCTCTCTCTCTCTCTCTCTCTCTCTCTCTCTCTCTCTCTCTCTCTCTCTCTCTCTCTCTCTCTCTCTCTCTCTCTCTCTCTCTCTCTCTCTCTCTCTGTCTGCTGTCGTCATGCAGAGCAGCTGCCTGCGCTGCTGCAGAGAAAGTAAACCTTTCCAATTCAAATCCAGATTGCAAATGAAATGTGAAAAGTTGCTGCTAAACTGCAAAATTAAATCATGAAAAAAACTTTTTTTTAACCGACAGTTTTGTGTCAGATAAATTAACTGCATTTTTCAGCTACAGCCTCTTTCTCTCCCCTTCTGCTCCTCCACTCCCCTCCTGGCTTTGCACTGCTGCTACTTTCTTCTTCTTTTGTTTTACTAGGTGTCAAACAGCTGATTGATTGACTTTATTGATATGAAAGTTGAGAAATTTAATTGTTACATCGGCTCAATAGCCAAAAAGAAGGAAAAGGTGCATGGGGTATTTCCAGTATATATATATATATATATATATATATATATATATATATATATATATATATATATATATATATATATATATATATATATATATATTAGTGCTGTCAAACTATTAAAAATGTTAGACAAAAAATGTTTAATAGCAGACAAAATTAAAATTATGCGATTAAAAATTGTATTGCATAATCTTAATTTTAATCGTATATTATCAACGGTTAATCGCAAATTTTATCTTTTTATTTTATTTGGGCATTTTAAGAATGCAAATGTGCAGTAATGTAAAAAAAACATGCTTATACAAAAAGTTTTTTATTATCATTATTTTTCAAGCACTTTTAAGAAACTAGAATAAAAAATTGTAAAAAAAATTACAAAACTACTGAACAGTAACAGTCCTTCAAAGTACTCCATAAACTTAAGTTTTTTTCTCAAACATAGGACAAAAATAAAAGATGTACTGTTAAAATAATTTGCACATTCTGCTATGAAATTCAGACTTAATTAAAATAAAATGAAGTTACTCACAAAATAATAAATAAATCAAATGAAATTACAATAATTGGGCTTTGCAGACATCTCAGCAACATAACATTTTAAATGTAGAACATTTTCAAAATGCTTTAATATTCCTTTGTTCTGAACAGGAAGTGCAGCAGCAGCGCCTTCCACATGACTTAGCTCATTAGTTTGTCTTGTTGGCACTAAGCCAGTCAGACGCTCGTTTCTTCTGGACAACAGAGACAGGCGACTCTGGTTTTGTCAAGAGAGCCTTCTGGCACAACTTTAAAAAGAAACTTATCATTCAGGATGCCTTGTCTGTTGGCCATTTTTGCCCAATCAAAGCACAGGTCTGTTACGCTGCGGACTCTCCCGCAAACTTAGCATTCCTTAAGCTACGGAAAGCGCTGAGGGTAAAACAAACAGTACAGAGAGAGCTGCGGAAAAAAAAGAACAAAAATGAACGGTGCATTTGTTTTGATGCACAAATAACGTGCGTTAATAACATTTCGGCGTTATTTTCTTAAGCAGTTAATGCGTTAATAATGCTTTTAAACTGAAAGCCCTTATATGTATATATATATATGTATGTATATATATATATATATATATATATATATATATATATATATATATATATATATATATATGTAAATACTAATAGCTCATTCTTCATAGCAGCACCTGCAGTAGCGCTCCTCTGACTAAAGGAGCTGCTCAGCTCCTCTCCAGTCTGCTGCAGAGGGTAGAAGGTGTTCTCCATGATGGATGGAAGCTTGGACAGCTCCCTCCTCTCAGCCACTGAGTCCAGAGTGCAGCCTAGGACAGAAACGGCCTTCCTCACCAGTTTGTTCAGTCTCTTTCTGTCCCGCTCTGCGCTGCCAGTGGCCCAGCAGACGACAGCATAGAGGAGGGCTGATGCCACCACAGAGTCAGAGCAGGTTTGAAGTAGGGACCTGCTCACTGCAAAGGATCTCATCCTCCTCAGGAGGTGGAGGGAGGCGGCTCTGGCCCTTCTTATACAGGGCGTTGCAGTTTATTATTAACGTGAACAAGCAGGGATTTGAAACTCTCCACAGTTTCTATGTCCTTCCCCTGGTTGTTCATGGTAGAGTTAGGTGGGGGTCTTCTGAAGTCCATCACCATCTCCTTGATCTTACTGGTGTTCAGACACAGGTGGTTATTCTCACACCTGTCCACAAAGTTCATGATGGCCGATCGATCCTCCAGCTCCTTCCCCCTTTAGAAACACCGCCTACAATGGCCGAGTCATGGGAGAACTTCTGGAGATGGCAGCTGTCCATGTTGGAGGTGAAGTCAGAGGTGTAGAGGTGGAAGAGGAGCAAAGCTGGGGGGCCCCAGAGCTGCAGACCTCTGACTGACAGCCGTGCAGACGCATGTGCTAAGGGGGGGGTGCTTCTTGTCTTTGGTTGTTCGACTTTGCTTTGATAATAACTGGGTATGAACTAATGAGCTGCATTTGTTTCTGTTATTAATGACTCAGTGTTTGTGTCCTTGTGTCTCCTCAGGACATTGCTGATCCTTTTTTCGCCTACTGCAAACAGCATGCGGATCGCTTCGACAGGAAGTGGAAAAGGAAGAACTATTTGGCCCTGCAGTCCTACTGTAAGGTGTCTCTGCAGGAGAGGGAGAGACAGCTGACCCCTGAGGCTCAGGTGACCTTTTCATGTCAAACTGAAGCTGTTTGTTTCTACTGTGGAGTTATTTCAGTAAAGAGCAGCAGGCTCAGTGGTTTATGGTTGCACGGTTGGTTCCCCTTCAGGGCCGGATCATGACCCGCCTGCAGCAGTACCGAGACAAAGCTGAGCTGTCCCGGAACACTCGGCCTCAGGCCTGGGTGCCCCGAGAGAAGCTGCCCCGACCTCTGACCTCCAGCGCCTCGGCCATCAGGAAGTTGATGAGGAAGGCGGAGCTGATGGGCATCAGCACCGACATTTTCCCCGTGGACACGTCCGACGCCAACGCCAGCCTGGATGGACGCAGGAAGCACAAGCAGCCCGCCCTCACCGCAGACTTCGTCAACTACTACCTAGGTGAGCAGCCGTTTGTTTTCCTCCGCCATACAGGAAGGAAGACCTGGAGTCTCAGTGCCGCTAACGGACCACGCTATAAGATCCATTAGACGGAGCGGTTCTAATGAAGACCGGCTCCAGGTTCTCTATCTGAGGAAGTCTAGCTGACTGCGTCTTCTTACTGTTAATGATGCTAACATTTACCCATTAAACTCATCTGAACTTTGACCCCACATTCAACTTTTCTGGAGTCGAATATAAGCTGTGGATGGGTTAGCAGGTCGGTGCCACCAAATCAAGGAGGAACCTGCAGGAGCGACCTGATGGTTCCAGTTAAAGTTCAAATAGGAAACGCAGACTGAAAGTTTCCCATTTCATAGTACGTATCGGCTTGGACACCACAGCATCTGGTGGATGTAAATCTATTTACTTTCTGGATCGAAACTTGAAGCAAAACCGGGTCGTTCAGATAATTAAACATTTCTTTTCCCGACCCAACGCCATTCCTACAATTTTAATGACGTTTTAAAAATCTTTTATAGTGATTAAAGTCGTAGGGAAGCGGCTGTTCCAACCATTGCATTTCTGAATTCTCCCAGTGGTGCCCGACTTTACACAAGTGAATAAAGTGAATGTGATTGGTAGTTTATCAAGGGGGCGGGATTGTTGTGGTGGAAGGTTCGGAAGCAGGTTTGGTTGTCGCCGGTTTATTGGAAGCATGTTGCTAACCAGTTAGCATCTTAGTGCTAGCAGGTTCCCAATGGGAAATTCCATTGGGACCAAGTAGCACTAAATTGGTGACTTAGAAACGACGCTGTCAAGGAACGCTATGGACTTCGGAAACATGCAAGAGGAGGAGAGTTTAGTGTCGGAGGTCGTGGATGAGTCTCCTCCGTCATCCATTTTTTATTTAGAGGAGGAAAGTGGGGACGAAGATGTTGTGGAAGAGGACGCCAGGGCGGCAGAAGCTTGGTTTGGTGTAGAAGGCTTCCAGCCGTACATGTTTGAGCCCTTGCCTCGCAACGCTGCCAGTTCTGTTAGCTCTACGCCTGCCGAAGACACAGACGTCCATCCCCGTGAACACTGGGACGCAACTCAATGGGAAAGGAAAGGATTCTGATTTCAACCGTTGCGTATATTAGCTGCGACAGATGAATCAAGATGCTATGACTGAAAACATTTGATTGACAGATGACCGTTGATATATGATTGGCTGAATTTAGGTGTTCAGGCTGACGTAGAACTAACTGGCCTGCAGAAGATAACGGAGAAAAAAAAAAAAAAAGATTTTAAAACAGGATTTTTTTTTTTAAATAGAAATTTTCTAACTTTTGGGACAATATGATCTGATAAAGAGAACATTTAGATACATGTTTAAGCCAGAATGATTTCCCTCCGACTTTAACAGTGCATGAAGTAGTGTTTCTATACAGGGACGTTTGACTACACTAACGCCATAGCTGGGTTTCGTCACGTGACTGCTCTCACCGAACTCTGACTGCTAGAGGCGCCCAGCGTACTGTACAATTCTCTTGATTTTTATTACGATTTAGACCAGCCACATAGAGAAAGGATAATCTACCATCACACACCCTAAAACTGCTCTAGACGCACTTTTGTTTAAAATTGGAACTGTGTTATTAGCAATGAATCAAACCAGTTTGACCAGTGTAAACAAAAAATCAAAGCTTTATGTTCGTTAAAAAACAAGCAGGAAAAACACAGGAAATTAAACTAAATCAGCAGAACTGTCAGGAATGAGCAGGAGATTTGATTGAGTCCACCTTCACTTCCTGCCTCATTTTGACAGGCACCAGTTCACCCAATCAGTCCCAGTATAGGACCAGTTAGAGGGCTGAGGACAGCAGCTGTCCTATAAACCTGCCAGCATCCCAGACTGATTAGATCAGAGCTTCAGGTTCTGCCCAGAGGCTACAGGTGACAGCTCTGTTAACAGGGGGATGGGAAACGATGTTCTATGTCTCCTCAGAATAACAGCATCTCTGTCTGAGCTGCAGGAGGAAGCTGTTAGAAGAGCCTGGAAGGTTCCACAGACATCTGAGTTCAGTCAAACCTGGCCAGCCCTCCTCTGCAGGTGTTTCATTGGCTGGAGGCCTAAGCAGGAGCGACTCCATCGAGTCGGACTGGAGTAGTGACAGGCAGGCCGGGCCACAGGCGGCTACGCTCTACCCCTTCTATTCATTCTAGCTAATCTGAATCGTTCATCTGGAGAGCGAGATCATCTGTGGTAGCAGCAGTAGACATCTTCCAGGCATGGGAGGAAAACTAGCTGCAGTTCAGCAGACAGGAAGAAGGAACGGTAGCCGGCGCGCGGATGACGTCATAGACACTCCACTTTGTTTAAAAAACACATAAATATAAAAAATATAACGCGGATGTGTGGGGGACAGTGATTGGCCTCCATGTTCTGAATGCTGGCGTACCATAAAGAATAAATGATGAACAGTTTAGTTTGTGCCTTCAAGTCGTTGCCCAGAGGAAGACGTTACTGGATATAACCTAACGGAATATCTTCAGAACGGCTGCAAATGACACTAAACTCATATGGGTGATAGAACATGATGGAATAACGGAAAATCAAGGACCCAATGGAAAAAAAACGACGTTCCCCTTTAAGTGGGATACACAAGCAGATGACCTGGCTTCTAGGTATAAATCAGCCTTAAATGAATTGGCTTGTTGCACTAGGCAGCGTAAATGTACTTCTGCATTCCTTGGTGTGATGTTCAACACCCGCTGTCTTTAGGTCAGGCTTAAAGTGTCAATCAACGATGTTCTTCACTTGATTCAGGGTCTGTCATCTCAACACAGATCGTAAACTTTAATTTTAATGCACTCTTGTGAAGATCCTGGCAACTCAGCTGTGAGCTCATCACGCAAAAAATTAAAAATAAAAATAACATGCATACACTGTGAGCAGAATTATTAGGCAAATGAGTATTTCCACCACATCATCCTTTCATACATGTTGTTCTACTCCAAGCTGAACAGGCTTGAAAGCCAACTTCCAATTATTTTATCAAAGTAAATCAGGGGGTGTGCATCTCTGTAATGAGAAGGGGTGTGGCCTAATGACATTACACCCTATATAAGGTGTGCTTAATTATTAGGCATTATTATGTTAATTGTGTTAGACAACTTCCTTTCCTTTGGCAAAATGGTCAGAAAAGACATTTAACAGACTCTGAAAAGTCAGAAATTGTCAGATGTCTCTCAGAGGGGAGCAGCAGTTTGGAAATTGCCGAGCTTTTTGGGCTTAAATCTAAATTACCTGCGACAAGTTGACTGCGACACACTGTTGCTGTAGTATAACCAGCCCTTAAGACTCATGAATTGTACTGTGAAGAACACGTACGTTTCGATAAACAACAACGTAGTCATGATCCTCCAACCCATTGGTAGGCCAGTCTCTTTTTTTTGGACCCAGAACAAACTAATTTTATATCAGATCGCTAGCTTTCTCTGACAACATTCCAGATTGATTGGCTGGAGCGGGAAGCCACAGGAAGTACCAGGCATCACATCCTGGGACAGAAAGTTAGTGGCCGCCATATTGTGCACTTGGCCAACTCATAACATTTGGTTGAAGTGTCCATTATTCACTATGCACTGTAAGCTAATGAGCTCCCAGCTCGCTGTAAACCTTAGAAAGCTGCTGGACTCTGGATGTATGAGGCAGATCAAACTCCTGGAAGCCATTTTTACTGGATTAACTTCTCAGGGAGTTCAAGAGGAATAAATCAAGTTTTAGTTTAGCTTCCACATCATAAGTGTAGCAAATAGACGGGTTATCCCTTTAATACAGTTATATATTTATGTTGATAACTGATTAAACTGCAGATGAGATAAATATGTTTACTTAAACAGAAGCTGAAAAAAGCTCCTTTTTCTGTTTTTGGATTTTATTAAAGGCTTGTGATTTTCATCAGTCAGATCCGGTTTAGTATCAGACGGCATTCATAGGTTTTATATTTACCAATGGCAGCGTTTGGAGATGACCTTGAGAACTCGCAGAGGGCCTATCGGCCATCAGGGCTCTGTCTCCTGCCTCTCCTCCTGTACATAGATTGGGATCGTGCTATTGATCTTTGTCCCATTGTTATTCAGAGCGCAACATGCGAATGATCCAGATCCAGGACAACATCTCCGAGCAGAAGAACTTGAAAGACAAACTGGAAAGTGAGCAAGAAAAACTACATGTGGATTACAACAAGGTGAGCAGCACACAAACCGCCCCGTCTACGGAGCATCGTTATCCTTTTGACCGATACTTATGGTTCACTTTATTTATTTAGTGCCAATTTCCAACACGTCATCTCAGGTCACTCTCCACATGATTCAGTCCAATCATTCAGACAGATTTAAGGTTCAAAGGTTGTTATCTAAGCTACCCAGCTGCTTGCTTCCACTCATGGACAAGCAGACAGCGAGAGACGCTACACTGCAGAAACTATCTAAGAAGAAAAATAATCTTAAAATAATTTTATTTACCCTTTATTTGAGTAGATAGAAGGTGATCAGCCAATGGAATGAGTACTTTACTTAAAATTAAATAATATATATATTATGCTCTTAAAATAGAAAAATGCAAATGTTATTATTATTTTAAATGTAAATAGTCTTTTCCATTGGCAAAGTGTCTCACCTGCCTGATTCAAGAAAAATGCTCTTATTTTAATAAGAATTAACTTATTTAGATTTCTTTTTTTTTTCATTGTAGACATTAAACACACTTAGAATACATGCAGAGACAGTGGAGAGGAACAACTCCTTTTTGAAAAGAAAAACCTTCTTTAGAACCAGATCCAGGCTCAATTTGAGCGGCTTCTACTGAGGCCGACCCGGGTTCAAGGAGACAGAAGCAGACATAGAAGTAGGGCTGCAACTAACGATTATTTTAAAAATCGATGAATCGGCCGATTATTTTTTTGATTAATCGATGAATCGGACAAAAAATATTTTTTATACTAACCTCTTTATTCCAAAATAAACATTTTAGACAGAACAAACAAGCACACAAGTACAGGTTGCTCATTAACTGTACTGGTGCAATATGAAAAATAAATGTTTGTGTTAAAACTACGCAAACTTACATGAGAAATGTAGCTGTACATCCACAAAATATAGGCTACTTTGTTTCATAAAGCGCAAAAAAAGACATTTTTGTTTTTAAAGCCCCTAAGGGGTTCAAACAACAGGCCCCCCCATTTCAACAAATGAGGTTTTTTAGACTAGAAGAGTTCTGCCTTTTAAGACAGGAAAGTATAGCAGTTAAAGTTGCTACTTGAGAAAATACTGAACCATAGAGATAAAAATAGCCTGTGATTCAAATTATAAATTGTATTTGGAATAAAAATGAGAGAACTAGGGGTGCTAAAAAACACATCCTCCAAAGACAGATATTTACATGGGAATGTGGCAGATAATTAATTGACATATTACTGATCTTGCTGGATTTTATTCTGCTTTACTTTCATAAATTGCAGGATCTTCTTTACTTTATCTTTGCCAGAAGATTTAAACTTTAAAAGCCTTGCCCTCATAATTTGCAAGTTAATTTATTTATAAAGTAAATATAAACGCTGCTTAAGCTAATTCAAATGAAATTAAAAGTAAAATAAGTAGCCAACCTTATCACTGTCTGTAACCTACTAACACGGTAAGGAAAGCATCAGATGAGCTACCTGAGAAACTAACGTTACGTTTCCCCACTTTAAAACCAAACAAACATGGCCGCTCACCCTGCTGATCAGCTCTCTTCACTGCCATCGAAGGCTCCAACATGTTTCTTTTCAGGTGCTGCGTCATAACAGTGGTGCTTCCGTGCCATGTTCATTTGTTTTGACAAAAGTTGCATGTTACGACTTTTTTCACTTTACAAAGCGCAGGCTGTCTGCGAATTGAGATGCAGCTTGCGTTTGCGGTATCGGTCATTAGAACAGTTGACGTTACTACCTTTTGAAAACAGCCTTTGCTCATCTGCGGCGCTGGCTCTCTCTGCCGTATTTTTTCTTCTTCCCGCGTTTCAATCAAGTGGCAGTGATGACGGCGGCGGATGACGCATTAATCGCGCGACACAACTAATCGATGATGAAATTCGTTGCCAACGCTTTTAAAAGTCGATTTTTATCGATTTCGATTCGTTGTTGCAGCCCTACATAGAAACGAAACATAGAAGCACTGGTCTATAAACACTTTCTATGTTAAAGAAGCTAAAAGTAAACTAGCTTCACAGGTGTGCTTCCCACACTCTGGGAGTGGGAGAATAGAGATAGAATGAAGCAGAATGATGAAAAAGGGGTCCCTATGTCCTCCAGCAGTCTAAGCCTATAGCAGCAGAACTATAGAGATAGATCAGGATAACCTGAGCCACTCTAACTAGAAGCTTTATCAAAAAGGAAAGTTTTAAGTCTAGCCTTAAAAGTAGGCAGTGTGTCTGCCTCACGGACTAAAACTGGTAGTTGGTTCCACAGGAGAGGAGCCTGCATGTTGATTTAGACACAAAGAAAAGTCACTTTTTAAACACCTGAGCGAAAATGAAAGAACTTTGTGATGATTGATAAGAAAATGTGAAACTTTATTTCTTGTTAATCAGATTTTTTCCTAAACTGTTTATTGGATAAATTAGTTTTTTGGCAGAATATGATCTTGCCTAAGAGCAGATGAGTTCGAGGGGGGAAGCTCTGCAAAAAGTGGAAAAATATTAAGTTAAAATGTAAAATAGTTCTTTTATTGTTTGTGTTTATGCAGGTTTTTGTTGTATTTTAACCCTTTATAGGGCAAGTTAGGGTTTTGTGATCCATTGCATACCCCTTACAAATATAGTTTTTCTTAGTTTAAATGTTGACATGGAGCCTGATGGAAGGAATCAGCTCCTATCTTCTGTTTTTCAGGATTCTTTATTTTTCCATATCATATTTCTATGATGCGTTTTCTTATAGTTAGTGGAAGATTTCTGTTTCTTTTAGAAACTGTGAAACTAGAAGCGTCTGCAGCCTGATGGGAGTACTTTATTAACCTGCTCTTGTCCAGATCCAGTGATGCCAACGTTGCTTTTCTGCCTCTGGAATCAAAATGTCAGCCTTGTAGCCCTGGGAGCTCCATGAAAGCGGCTCTTCTCCTGCTAACTGTAGCGTTATTACTTTCCCTCCGACACGTGACCTCTGCGGGGTGAGCGCCACTCCATCCGTCAGGAGGAAGGGAATCCAGCGCGGAGCAGAAGTCACCGGAGTTAATGTTGCATAGAGGGAGGCGCTGGGTGTGTGCTGAGCGTTATTGATGGAGTGTGTGTTGCTAATGAGTCGCTCCTACATGCTTCGGCCTTGGAGAGCAGAAAAGTTCACTTCTTAAGTTTTCCTGACGGTGATTCATGTGCAGAAACATCTAAACCAGTTCACTGTTTTTTTTTCAGTCATATGAAACTCAATTAGTGGAAAACTAGAAAATAATGAAGGACTGTGCCTCAGAAAACTCTGATTGAAACAGGATCAACAGCAGAAGGATGTTTAGCCTCTCTGTGCACAGAGTTCTCTATCTGTGCAGGACTTCCTGGTTCTGCTGGAGGTCCAGCTTCCTTTAGCAGCCATCACTGTTGGTTCTGCTGTCTCTTATCTTCCTGTTCTGGGTTTTAAAGCTTTCTAACATTTTTCCACTTCTCTGATCATCTTCTCATCATTTTCCCCCATAATGTGAAATATTTCCCTCTGTGACCTTCGGTTCTCTAGTTCTACCTGTGGAACCTGAACTACATGATCTATTGAGCTCCTGCTAGCTGCAGTGATCCTCATGTTGCGTTTCCTGTCCCGCTGCAGCTCTGCGAGTTTCTGGAGGAGCTGCTGACTGTGAATGGAACCCTGCGGACTGAAGGCCAGGCTCTCTGGACCCTCCTGGGGGGCATCGTGGGTCAGGTATGCTCCCACTCATCTTCCTCGTGACTGACTGACAGCCCACTCACCTGGCAGTCAGCTTCAGCAGGCGCTTTGGTTCCTATGGTGACTAAATGCTAACATGTATTCTATGTATTCCAAAAAAGTTAAAAACAATTCCAGGATTGAAGACGTTTCTCTCCCATTCAGGAAGCTTTTTCAATTCAAAATGAATTCAAAACGTCTCCAAACTTGGAAACAAAGTCCAGTGGATTGTTTTTGACGATGACCTGGATGACTGAGGATCTTAACCAGCATAATGTGGCCGAGTAGCCTTCAGGCATTCTGACTAAATGTCTCCAGGCAGCGTGATCCTCAGAGAACCAGGAGAGCTGCTTATCTGGGAAGATGCTGCATCACAGGAACAGATGCAGGATGAGGGGAATCAGTTTTAATCACTCTTTCAGGATCTTCTTCTTGTTAAAGGATAAAAACGGATTAGTAAGAACAAAGAAAAGTTCTAGTAAAGACTTTAACCAATGATTTTTTAATAAACCAGCGTCCCGATGGGTCTGAAAGGGGTCATAGAATGCAAAACCCAGTTTCCATTGTCATAGATGAATAAGGATAGTTCAGTTAGTGAAATGGACGTACGGAGAAGTTCAAACACCATCAGCACCTCGCTGATGAAGGTTCTCAGTCATCCAGGTCATAGTCATTCCGTAAAAATTCAAAAAATATCCACTGGACTTTGTTTTCAAGATTTGAAGACGTTTCGCCACCTCTCCAGGAAGCTTTCTCAATTCAAATGTCATCAGCACCTCCTTTCTCTGCATATCTCACTATTGACATACAATAAATGCAGCGTTCCAGGCTGAAAGGGGAAAGGGGAACATTTTCAGTCTTCCTAAGGATCCCAAGACTCTACAGGCATGGATTATTTTAGTCTATCAGAAGATCCCTGCAAAGTTTGATGCTCAGCTGTTCATTTTCTCTAAGCATTTTACTGAATACAGCATCAAAATGGACAGTTCAGAGCAGGAACTGCTAAACTTCTTTTACTGAAACCAGGGGCTGTAAACCGTAAGGCCAACACAAGCGCAGGCTGGAAGGTATGATTCTGTCGCTAAGCTGTTGATACAATGCTAGCATATTCATCTAAGAAATGTGTATGATCAGAATGTGGCCTATTTACCGTAAATCCTTCCTGCCATGCAGGGTTGGTGCAGCTCTGGGGTCGGGGAATGGCCCCTCTGGTACCTCTGCAGATCCCACACATTCTGGACAGTAACCGTTAACCTTCAGGCTGTCGGTTTCCACCCCCACCATCTCTCTGATGCTTATATTCACTACAGTTAGACTACTCATATCTTTGAAAGTCATATTTGCTCTCTAACTCAGCTTAAAAATGCGTATCTTATTTGTGTTTATGATTAAAATGTCTTTATTGATGTGGAGGACCTGAACTGAAGCCAGATTCCTTCTCTTAGAAAGGACCTGAACACTGGCCTTCCAGAACATCTCTGTCATGCTGTCCACTAAACCTCATAAAGAGCAGGTTTGGTACTGGGTTTGACAACTGGGACCATTTTAATCTTCTAACTGGAGTGAGAGCGATGAAAGGATATCATTGGACAGTGAGGGTTGGATATAGTGAGGCGGTTGTGTGACGTTAGCTCCCTGTCAATCCCAGCTGCTCCGCAGCCCTCTGGGCGTCAGAAGTCTCTTCTTTTCACCACTTTTTCTGGAGGTATTGAACTGATGAACCTTTTATTTTAAGAAGAGCCGGTAACTGCAGAAGGTTTTTCATTTCTAAAAACTTTGACATCTATGGGACATTTTTCTCTCTAAATCAAAAGTGCAGCTGCAGAAAGGACGGCTGTTGAAGATAAATGGTCAGACGATGTTAATACGGTTGCAGGACAGATAAATGGAGCGGAATGTGGAAGACTGGCGCTGGTTCTGCAACGACCGGCATAAATCACCTAATTATGACCATCCACAGTATAAGTTGGAGCATCAGTCATAGTGCTGCATGCTTGTGTGTCATCTGTCTGCCACATTTTCATCTGCTATTTGTCATTCTGCCTGCGCATTTGCAGAAATAATTTATGTCCCCGACCGGGACTGGAATCAGTCATTTAGTACTCAGTCGGAGCTTTTGTTTCTCCAACATTTACCACCCCTGGTAGCTTTACATGGAAACAATCAAATGTTACTTTCCACATGCTGCTGGAGGGAGGGAGGGAGGGAGGGGGGGGGCTCACAGAGCTAATGCACATCAATATTCTCCCACAAACATGTTGGAAAATAAACTTTTGCTCCTTCTGTTGAGAGTTCTAAAATAGTTCATTGAGAGCTTCATTTTCCACAATATGCTGCATGAAAAAGAAAAGGTGCAGCTTATTGGTCATCTGGATTAGAGGAGGAGGAAATGTAATCCTCCATGAGCCGGGGACGTCACTCTGACACACTGCCTGGCTTTACTGCCACTCGCCGTCCAGGAGATCCAACCATCAGCAGTGGGAGCGACGCTTTGCTGTTAGCTGAGGTTGTAAATAGGCGGTTCTGGTTCTGGTTCTGGTTCCACTCAGAGGAATGGTAGAACTGGGCTCCATGACTCACCATCATTGGTGTTCTGTCATTTTCTGGCACCAGCCTGGTGTGCTCCATGGTTTTGTCATCCCTTCCTCCTCTTCCTCACAGATCTGGGATTGGTGGACGCCAGAGGTGTCCGAAGTATTAATTCAGTTCTATTCAGTTTATTTCTATAGCTCCAGTTCACATCATGTCATCTCAGCTCACTTTACAGTTCATCAGATCATCCAGTCAGATTGATTCAAAGTTTTCTATCTAAGGAAAACCAGCTGATTGCATCGACTCATTGACTCTTCAGCAATCCCTCACACTAAGCATGCTTGTAGCGACAGGGGAGAGGAAAAACTTGTGCTTTGCATCATTTCATGGGCATTACTCTGCCGTGTGTTATGCATCAGTTAGGCTGTCGTTTGACATCAGTTCTGGATTCGTGAATGCTCTTTGTATACGCCCAAAATAAAAATAAGAATCCATAGAAAGTTCAGCGTATGGAAGCATTTTAGAAGGTTCTGGGATGTCGGGCAGACGCTGGATAAATCGGTGAGGTGTGACAGGACCAAAACCAGCGGATGGCAGCAGTGATACAATCAGTGGAATGATCTAGTTCATTGGAACTGTTGCTATTTTAACCATAAACTACGTATAAAAATGCTTTGAATTATTCCCATCAACACACTCACCTTAAAGCTTTGTTGTTTCATGGAAGAACATTGAACGCCTTGTTTCTCTGCAGATTAAGAATAACTGCTCAGCCATTTAAAGCAGAACCAGAGATTATTAATTAGGCAGCGTAGCTCTTGGTTCTATTAAAACAAAGGGCTTCATGGACCTTCAGGGATTTCTTTGGGAAATCTTCCACTTTCCTGTTTGTACTTTATGTTTAGTGCAGAATTACCTGCTAGTCGGTTTTCAGCCCCCCTCAGTCCACATTGCTCCCTGCTGGGCCACCCCCATTAGCCTCGTGAGACCATCCTGATCTCGCGAGCTTTCAGGGTTTCACTCGCAGATCAGTCTGGAGACTGATCTGCGAGTGAAAGAAAATTTAGAGCCGTTCACCAAACGAACGTCCAATCAGCGTTGGCTTTGAGGCGGGTTGAGGTGTGACGCAACGAGAAGCGCGACAGTTCAGTCTAAAGAACATGGCGGCTTCAGCCGATGAAACTAGCGTTAGCGTGGCGATCGAGCAAGTTTTATCGGAATTACAGAGTATTTCTTCACTGAAAGACGAGCAAAACACTGCTCTGGAGGCGTTTCTCAGAGGAAAAGATGTTTTTGCTCTTCTCCCGACTGGTTTCGGCAAGAGTAGCCTGGCTGTTAGTACGTCATATGCTTCGTTGATCTGATTGGTTTATTTGGCCTGTCTATCACCAACATAGGCCAATCAGCTAACCAGTATTTTCACCCCTTCCCAAAATCACTTAAACGGAAGGTTTCTAGATGGATATGCGGAGTCAGGTTACACCCCCATGGCCCCATGCCCCAAACTAACCCTAAAACGCCCACTGATGTCAGTGTCAGACCTACCAGATGGGAACTGAGAGAAGGAAATGAGTCCAAGCTCCTTTAGCTGCTGCTGAGGATGATTAAAGCTGTTCGTGACTCTTCTGTGTCTCTGGTCCTCTGCTAAGATTCAGCTCGCTCAGGTTACCAGCTTGATCACCCCACATCCTTCAGCGTGACATGTCGGCACACTCCGAAGGCCCTGACCTGTCCCTGACATGTCCCTGACATGTCCCTGACCTGTCCTCTTCATGCACAACCGGACATGAGATCCAATTTTAGCTCAGTTTAACGTCAGCGTTCCTCTCAGAGACACAGGCTTTCTCTACAGCGAGTATTCAACGTTAACTCATTGGAGGAAGAAAAGAAGAAAATCAAAGCATCATTTTCATCCTCATCCCAGATAAGGGATCCTGACCCCCCCCTCCCTTCCCATCACCACTTGAAACATGAATCTAATGGAAAATACCAGAGAATGCTTGTTGTTAAAGGACGCATTGGCTCAGCTTTACTTAAGGTGGTTTATTTTCCACGTTCTTTGCTGAATGTTTAGTGGAAACCAGTCCTTGATTGATAGTAGGATTAGTAAAAATGGTGGAAATGCTTTGAGGCCGTGGGGGGTGGGGGGGGGGCTGCTTTATGTCTGTCTTTAAATGACTGAGAGCAAAGCTGGAGGTTTCCCCGTAAGGAAACATAAGCCCCCCTCAAAGAACCAATAGGCTAAGCTTATGCACAAAGCGCTCTGTGGAAAACACTCCTGGAAGATCTGAGCAGAAACTGACCCAAATGCCCCCCCCCCCCCCCCCCCCCCCCACCGCAGCTCTTTTACAGGAAACCTAGACCTGCGCTCTATCAACGTCAGATGGATGTTTGCCCTACAGAAACATCTGGCTGTGCAGCAGAGAGCAGATTCTAACACTGATGCTAAAACTTGACTCAATCAT